GCCCCTGCGCCCTGGCTCCGGACCGGACACAATCTCAAGCTCGCACGCTGGGGTTTGCCGTGGTTTACAATACGGCTAGACCGTAATTTTCAATGTGATTGAACAAATATTGAACTACGATGGCGTATAAGCATATTTGTAGTCTAACCCATTTTTGAGCATATAGACTGGTCAGCACGCACTGCTAAATTCGTCCAAAGATAAACTCGCCAGCGATTTCCAAAGTTCCCCCAAAAAATGTGTATTTGAACAACTTGCGTGAACAGGGGTTTGCGGTGTGATTCGTACACCACGGCTAAACAGGTTTTTTTAAATTTATTTGTATTTTGCTAGGCGGTACATCAAACACTAGTCTACAATGGCATCTAACTAAAATTCCTGTCCGATCAATCCTCGAGCTGCGGTTTGCAGCACCGCGAGCTAGAGATCTAAAGGGAAGTAGTATGGGCTGCACTTTGTCGCAAATTTTTGTCGCAAGGGGTGGGGGGCCCAGAAAACGAATCCGTTGCATGGAGTGGGGGGCCGCGACGTTTTTGTAGCATGTGACGAGGTGGAGGGGGAAAATATTTTTTTTTCTGCCTTGGTCGGGTTTCGATCTCGGAACTTTGGTTTCGTAGTTGGGGGCGCTAACCCCTAGACCACAGGACCGCTGAAGGTCCTCGGGGTCTGATTGACATGTGTAGCGGAGAGCGGGCGCTGCACGCAAAAAAAAAGTTAGCTGTGAGAGCTAATAGTATTAGCTGGATACGGGACAGCTAATAATATTAGCTGTGGTAGCCAATACAAGTGTGCAGCGGCAGGTTGTCATTTAATCGCCATCATGGCCTATGTAGGTTTACTGTCGTAGCTAATTCACGTCGACTGGAAATTCGAAAAGAAGCCGGTGGGTGTCAAACCTATTAACAGAGGCATGACGAAAGCGCGATGACAATTTTTTGTTTTGTGTCTAGCGCGAAGTGTCCCCCACGGCCCCCTTGGTGAAGACGAACGAGAAAGCCGACAGAAGCGGGCGGGACTCGAACCCGGACCAGCCGGCCAGCCGGCGCGTCTTGAGCGACGCCTCAGGCCGCTCGGCCACCGCGCGACTTGCCGGCGGTCAGTTTGCATCGTGCACACCTTCCATTGAGAAGCGGGACGATCCAGACACCGCCTCTTCTCCTCCACACATAACAGAGTCACTTCTGGACGCTAAAATTAGTGCCGCTCCAGCTAATCCAAGAATTAGTCGTGACTGTAAATCAAGTTTTGCTCCTACAAGTAACCATTTTATCTCTCAGAGGAGAGCGTGCTATTAGCCCCAAACGACATAACGCACTGGCTACAGCAACAAATTATACATGCGATTGCTGCAAAATCTCTATTAGCTCTCAGAGCTAATGTACCAATGCAGGCACAGGAAAAGGTCGACTTCCTCCGATAGCAATGACCGTGTCCCATCGAGCGAAGAGTATTAGCTGTAGATGCTATCACTATTAGCTATCCCGAATCCAGCTAACAAATTAGCTCTGAGAGCTAAACTTTAGCTAAGCCAGCAAATCATTTTTTTGCGTGTGGCCCGGCCCTTTCTCGGCTTAGCTTGGGTAAGCTTCGGGAGGCGGTCGGCTCGGAGTGAAGGGCGCGCGGTACGCCCTCTGGAGGCCGGAGCCCGGATGGCTCGGCTCCGCTCCGCTCGGCTGGTATGGCGCGACGGATTTGAAAATGGGAAGGTGAAATGTGCCCTCCTGTGAGAGGTATGGCGGCACGAGTTCCATTGGCTGGAGATAGGGTGTGTGACACTAGGAACACAAACTTCCGGGCGGTTCGCGCCGTGGAGGCTGGAGCACGTATGCCTCGGCTCCGCTCGGCTCGGCTCCACCCGGCTCCACTCGGTTCCGCTCGGCTCGGCTCCGCTCGGCTCGGCTCCGCTCGGCTTGGCTCCCCTCGGCCCAGCTCGGCTTTGCGCGGCTTGGCTTGGCTCCGCTCGGCTCTGCTCGGCTCCGCTCGGCTAGTATGGCGCGACGGATTTGAAAATGGGAAGAGGATAGTGGCCCTCCTGTGTAGCGGCGAGGGTTCAGTTGGGTTAAGACATTGTGTGCGAGACTAGGAATTGCGCACCAACTTCGCGCACGGTAATCGATCTAGTCAT